TGTCCAAGGCCGGGCTGGAGCAACCTGGGCTGGTGGAAGGTGTCCCTGCCCAGGCAGGGGGTGAAACAAGATGGGCTTTAAGGTCCCTTCGCACCCAAACCATTCCATGAGTCCGTGACAAGCCCCAGCACTGCCCTCTGCCAGCTGTGCCACAGTGGGTCCCGCAGCCCCAGCGGTGTCACCTCACCCTGGATGTCCCCATGCCTGTGCATCTTGTGGGAAGTGCAGGACAGAGAACTCCTCTGGCACTGGGAACATCAGTTTCCCTGGCAGAAGTTGGGGTCACTGTGTTCTTTGTCAGGGCTGTTTGGCTTTTTCACTGTGCCTGGAACCACAGGGCACAACAGAATAATCGTGGGCTTGTAGTTCAGACCAAAGTTCTTGAGTGGGGAAAAGCTTATGAGGGTGATCAGGAATGGTTCTCTGTGCTGAGGATATTCCATACTCAGGTTTCTTCTATTCTCCAGCTGAATAAGCTTTTGGCCAGGGGTCTGTCTTTTCCAAGATGTTTTTGACTTGGACTGGACATTTGGATGCCTGGCAGGCTGGAAATGAGACACTTGGCATGATTTTCCTCATTGCAAACACACCCTTCTACGTGCAGTTCTCAGAATGACTCTAGAAATGTTAAGTGCCAAGTTAAATATATGACCAGAACTGAAAACCAGCTTGGCTTATTCTGCTGAAAAGTTTTGGTGTTGTTTGTCTTTTCCCCAAAAGAAATTTTGTATCTTAAAAAAATTGTTACCTTGTCAACATTTTAATTTTTAAACTTCCCTGGAAAGACATGATTATTTTGAGTTTTCTAAACTGTGTGTGTTGCTGTTGCTCTACTGTATTTTTTTTTTTTAATTGAGGTCTAAAATGTGAGATGGCACAATTTTTTGCCTAAATCCATAGGTGGCAAATCCTCTGGAATGAAAAATGTCCCTCTCTCACTTGGTGTCTAAACTGTGACCATGCTCCTGAATCAGTTGTTCAGCTGTAGAGACCCTTCTCTTCTTTTAATTGATATTCTGCCCAATCAGTGTGACTGTGTTAATTGTACATATCAGGAGATGTGTGACCTTAGACCTCAACAAGAACAGAACTTTTTACTATCATTTTGCAGAACTCAGTACTAAAGCCCCCCTAAAGAAATTAAACACAAAATATGAAAGTTGCAGGTTATGTCTGAACTTTTTTAACGACGCCCATAACATACTTTCTCTTGAGTTACTCTGATGTTTGACTTCCAGCTAATTTCTGAAAGGCAGTTGAAACGTTTCTGAGCCCCCAGAGGCTGTGGGAGATGAAGCCACGGGTTAGGGAGCACGTGGGAATTGGCAGGGCAGGGAATGCTGTGTGTGGGCTCAGCCTGGGTGCCTTGTCTGGGTGAGTGCTGAGTGATTCTGCCTCAGAAACACCAAAAATACTCTTTTAACAGCCCATGCAGGCTGTGTTTGGATTCCCTCTGCAGGCTGTGCTGTCAGGAGATGGACTGCAAGTGTTAAAAGAAGCTGCAAAGGCAGAGAGTTCATCCAGCACCCACATTTAAATCTCCAATTTCCATACTGAGCAGTGTCCCCAAATGCTCTTTGTTGTCCTGGAAGATACCTGTGCTCTCCCAGTAAGGAACAGGAATGAAAGTACAGCACCACATTACAGGTTTCTTCTGGGATTCCCTCAGGAATCCTGGGTGTTCCCTCAGGATTTGGCCTTTTGGTGGGGTATCAGTTGCTGGGTATAAATTGCTTTGCAGAACTGTGTTTGCAGCCACTCTGTGTGTGTGTGTTAGAGCCAGGCTGCAGCTTCTTTTGTTGTGCTTTTGCCTGACTGACCTTGTAAAGTGCCTCCTGTGCTGCTTTTGTTTGCTGGGGACAGGAACAAGCCATCAGGATGCCAGCACTGCCTCTGGATGAGCTCCAGCTGACACAAAGGGATCCCAAGACAGGGAAGCTGAGAACTTTGCCAGCACTGGTGAGCTCTGCTTTTCCTGAAACACAAACAAGAACTTTAATAAATAATTGTCTTATACTGGGACTTGGGCAAAACCACCCCTTGGGCTGGGATAGGATGAAATTTGTTCAGCTTGCCTGCTAAATAAATCTCTTTTTTTAATGCATTCAGATAACTGAAATTTCCTTTACCCACCATAACAAAAAGCCCCAAAACGCAACAACCAAACTTACTCTGTTCAACATCTGTGGTAAACTGTGTTTTCCCAGATCCTCTCTTTTAAGGAACAAAATTATGAGTTGATCAGTGATGTCACCTCTGCTGCAATAGAGAAGCTCGGGGAGGTTTTGCAAGCCCTGCCTCAATTTTAGCTCTGAGCTGCAGCTCTGGGATCAGTCCACTCGTGATCTCCCACCCTGTGCCTTCAGTTGGATGAAATCAAAACCTTAAACCCACAGTAACCCTTTTCTCCCAGAAATAAGGCCTGGAGAGAACCTTCTGGGCATGTTGCAGGAGTGGGACCATCACCACCCTGAGCACTCTTGTGGGATGAGGCAGAGCTTGGAGCTGCTGCTCATTGTAATTCTCCTTCTAAGGTGGGAGGATTTGGGCAGGGCCTGGTCAGTAAACCCTGGGAAGTGAAGTGTTTCTGTTTGATGGTTGTGTCAGTTTGAGTTCATGGAATATTGTGCAAGAACCAGTTCAGAGGAAAAAGAGAGAGTTCAAAGGCTTGACATGAAGCTCCTGCTGTTTGTTCTGAAGGTGTGGGAGGATTGCTTTGCAAGGCTTTGGTTAATAGAAAGCAGGGAGCAACATTACCAAATTATCAAGGTCTGGAAATACTGCTGGTAAATCAAGACACAAACCCACTGCCTTGAAGGGTTAAAAAATGGGAAGTTACCAGGGAACTGAATGTTCCTCTCATGAGGAATTGTAGGGCTGGGACAAGGAGTAGTGGGCTCAAAGTGACAGGGGGGAAACTTAGGTTAGATATTGGGAAGGAATTCCTGGCTGTGAGGGTGGGGAGGCCCTGGCCCAGGTTGCCCAGAGAAGCTGTGGCTGCCCCTGGATCCCTGGCAGTGTCCAAGGCCAGGCTGGACGGGGCTTGGAGCAACCTGGGCTGGTGGAAGGTGGAACTGGATGGGTTTTAAGGTCCCTTCCCAGCCACGCTATTCCATGATTCCATGAATGTCAAACTGTATTAAAATGTAACTTTGTGTGTCCTGGAATTCCCGGGGCAGTGCAGGTGTAACTGGGCACTCCCCTGGCTTGGTGTGGGGATTGAGCTCCGTGTCTCTGCTTCCTGCAGCACCCAGACATCAAAGCTGATCGGTCCTTCGTGCTCTACAAACCCCCTCCTGCTGTCAGGGACCCTGCTCTGCTGGAGGAGTTCCTGGAGAGAGCCAAGTTCATTGCAGATGACCTGAACTGGCTCCTGGCTTTGCCTCACGACAAATTCTGGTGCCAGGTAATCGTTGTTTTGTGGTCACTGAGGATGAAGCAGGACCGTGCAGGTGCTTGTAAAAGCCATGAGCTTGAAATCATTTCCATAAAGATTTGTTTGTGCTCGTTGTGTCACTTGGGAAACATTTTAATTTCAATTACTGCACCTTAGAGTGCAAAGAAAGTATTTCCCTATGGATTTTCCACTGTGGATTTTAAGAGTTTGCTTGTATTTGATGGATATGGGAATCCTCTGAGCCCTTTTAAGCGTTTTTGGATCGTCTTTAAACTTAACTGAGATGCCCATGAACTCAACCTATGAATGTGTGAGATTCCCTCCTTCCCATTTCCTTGTCTTTCCGTGTGCCAGGTGATATTTGATGAGACCCTGCAGAAGTGTTTGGACTCCTACCTGTGCCGTGCCCCCCGCAAGTTCGACGGGATGTGGGATTGCCATCCAGAGGTGCAGGATGTGCAGAAATCCCTCCATCACAGCGTCTTCCTCACCTTCCTCAGGATGTCCACCCACAAGGAGTCCAAGGTGAATGTTGCTTTGCCTCCCAGGGCTGTATAACTCGGGGGAAAAAGGGAATTAGAGAAAGGAATCCTGTTTCTGCCCTGCGTGTCCGGTGGTGTTCCTCTCCCCGGTGTTTTTGTCAGTCTGATTTTCCATGTGGAGATGGCAACACTCAGAGCTGAAGTATCTGAACTATGCACTGATTCCTTAGTTGATTGCCTGGATCTCCTTCCTTACATAATGTGTGGTGGTGGGATATGTCATGGTGAGAGGAGAAAGATCAAGTTGGGCTCCGTGTGGCCACATGGAACAGGCTCTTCAGGCCACCATTCCCGAGGGTTCACTCCCTCAGTGTCACAGAATCTGGGCTAATACCTGTCTGTCCTGAACCTTCCCCAAGTTTTGGACACACAGTGAAGTTGCTCTGAGTTACTGTTTTCTTGGCATCATCAGGCATTCAGCCTGGAGAAGGGAAGGCTCCAGAGAGACCTGAGAGCCCCTTCCAGTGCCCAAAAGGGCTCCAGGAGAGCTGGAGAGGGACTGCGGGCAAGGGATAGAGGGACAGGACACAGGGAATGGCTTCCCACTGCCAGAGGGCAGGGAGAGATGGGAGATTGGGAAGGAATTGTTGGCTGTGAGGGTGGTGAGGCCCTGGCCCAGGTTGCCCAGAGAAGCTGTGGCTGCCCCTGGATCCCTGGAAGTGTCCAAGGCCAGGTTGGACGGGGCTTGGAGCAACCTGGGCTAGTGGAAGGTGTCCCTGCCCATGGCAGGGGGTGGGACTGGATGTGCTTTAAGGTCCCTTCCAACCCAACCCATTCCAGGATTCTATAATTAAAGACACACTCAGCACTAATGGTGTGAGTGCAACTCCCACCAGGAGCTGTGGAATTTTCACCAGGCCTTTGGGCAGGATGGATGAGGCACCTTTTGTTTTAGCAACTACTCCCTTGAACTCCTCATTGGTTCTTGATGTGTTATTTGGGGATAAAATATTTAGGAAAGGGCTCGTGGGGGGAGCTGGAGGACTGGGACAGGAGCAGGTAGCAGGAATGCTGGATCCAGCAGCTGGCACCACTTCAGCAGAGGCACTCAACACCTCTGTGGTGTCTTTCATTCCAGGGTCTGATTAAATCTCACTTCTCCAAGAGGCAGGCGAGCATTTGAAACCATTTTACAGCTGAGTGATTTGAGGGGAATGAATGGTCTGTTGTCATGCAGGAGTTCTGGAAACTGGACCTGTCCCTCTGCTTCAGCAGGGAGAACGTGCCCTGCCTTTCACCAGAGCTGAAAACATTCGCTGTCACTGGCAAATTGGGCTTCTGGAAATCCAAAGTCACGTTTCAGATGTTTGTTTCTCAGTGTCAGACCTTTTGTTTTCATCTAGAATTTTGGAAGAAATTCCCTCAGCGTGACGAGTTTTCAGCACAGTGTTCAGCAGTCAGGGTACAGAGCTGCAGCTCCTGGGCCTTTTTCGTGCTTGTCACTGATTCTGTGATCTCTGGTGCCCTGGTTCTGCTCTCCCAGGGTCCAAAAACCTCAGGCTGTGACCTGTTGTGTGAGTGCCAGTGAGGCTGTGCCTGTGCCTGGTCACTCACTCCTGCTCCTGAGCTGTTCTGTGCCAGCTCAGCTGTTTGTCCCCAGGCTGGGGACAAACTCATGAACTGTGGGGACATTTTTGGTTTAACTTTTAGGTAGATTGATTCACTTCACACGAAGAAATCAGTGGCAGTGACAGGCAGCTAGGAATGTGGATGTCTCCACAGAAGCTGTTTCAAGCAGAGCTGCTGCCTTCTCTGAAACCAAACCCTTAACACTCCTCTGAGAGAGGTTTTTAGGGGTGTCATTGTAATGCTCAAGTTACCTCAGAGCAAGGGGGGGATTATCCTTTAAATTACTCCTGTTTTTTTATTTTGTAGGAACATTTTATCACTCCCTCTGTCTTTGGAGAAATCATTTACAACAACTTCTTGTTTGACATCCCAAAGATTCTGGATCTCTGTGTGCTTTTTGGGAAAGGAAATGGCCTCCTGCTCCAGAAGATGATTGGTTAGTTAAAGCCAAGGAACAACTTGTTGCACTTAAGCTTTTCCTTACTTGTGTGACAAGTGACAAGTGGGGTTTTATACCAGTGTTACCACTCTGAAAATGAATTGTTCAGTAGCAACTAGGATCTATCATTTCTAGATCAGACTGTGCTTTTCTTTATTCTTGTGCACTTCATGTGTGCCAAGGAAACATCATGTCATGCTTTGCTGCCCCGAGCTGGGCTCTTGCTTTTTTAGGCTTGAACCAAGGCTCAGTCCTTTCCCATGCAATTAAACGTGTCCTCAGCCACTGGGAGAGGAATGTGAGGGTTCTGTAAAATCCTGGAAGAGATGGGAAGGATCAAACAACTCCTGGGCAAAGAGGGAGGAGGGTTGGGAGCTGGGGCACAGTCCAACTGCTCATGTGAGTGCTTCTGTTCCCAGAGCTGGGAGCCAAGTGAAACGCTCAGCGTGAGGCAACCTCTGCTCTGGGAAGTGGGAGAACTTGAATTTTCAAAGCAGACATTGATGTATTTAGTGCCTCCAAACCACAAACACTTCAGAGTGTTGCTCAAGCTGTGCTTACCCCTGGATTTCTCTGTGTGCACACACAGCCTCAGTGGCAGGGACAGTCAGGAATGTCTCAGCCGTGGATGCCAGAACCTGAGGGATGAAGATGGAGCACATTGACTTAACTTCTGTGTTTATCCTGTGCTCCCTTCACAGGGCAACTGCCTGTGATCTTTAATGTCACCTGAGCACAGCTGGAAGAGTATCTGGGCTTGGATTAAGTGAGCTCTTCTTAGTAAATACTTGCCCCCTTTGAATGAAGCTCATGGGATGAAACTTTCCCCTTTCTTTGCTATTTTTGTCTCATTTCTGAGCTCACTAACAAGAGAGGTGTTAGAGATCATGTGATGCAGCCAGATTTCCAGCCAGAAAAGCTGAGATAAACCTTTGCATTTTTAATCCCTTTATCCTTTTTTTCAGTAACTTCTACTCTAAATTCCTCTCTTGGGCCTCAGAGGTGGGAAGAAAGGCATGACAAGATAGATAGATCTCTTTGAGATGTGAAGCTTAGATTATCTTGGATTTAAATATTCCAAAGAAGACCTGAGTGCATGAAACCTCCTTTGAATTATGCTCTGCAGTGCCACACAATAACTCTGCACACAGGTGGCCAAGGATTTGCCCACCTGGTTATTTCATTATGCTGTGACAATGATGGCATGAGCAGTTCTGGGCTGTAATTCATACCTTCATAAACTTTAGGTTCTTCTCAGGGTTTAAATTTTTCTGAAACTCATCTCATAACTCTTGCCCAAGCTCTGTGCTTGCTGGAGAACTCTTAATTTTCATTGTCTGAACAATAATTCCCAGGAAAATAGAAGCCTCAGTGCTTGGTGAGGATTTATGGCACGGCATTACTCAGTGGAGTATTTTGTAAAGATAATGGAGCCCCAGTAATGTAATAGCAGGTGTTACTAAAGCCTCATTACCTTTAAGAAATATTCTGCAGCACATTTCCAGTGTGTGCTGAACTGTTATCAGTAATTAAAAGTCAACTCCAGTTGTCAAATAAAGGAACTGGGGATGTTCAGTGATAGTATTTGCATTATTCATTGATCCAGCCCCTGGAGCATGAATCATCTGACACCTCCTTTGCTCTGCTCTCATGAGCATGTTCCCACTGCTGCACCTCCAGTGGCACTGGGGGGCTGATGGAGCAGCTTTCTGGGAGCAGGGCCTGTGCTTGGACTGAGGATTGAGCTGGGCCCCTGTCCTACGTGGTCATGAGCTGTGCCTGGGGGGTGTCAGTAATGTCACAGCACAGTGTCACAGGCACAGTGTCAGTAATGTCACAGCACAGTGTCAGTAATGTCACAGGCACAGTGTCACAGGTACAGTGTCAGTAATGTCACAGGCACAATGTCACAGGCACAGTGTCAGTAATGTCACAGCACAGTGTCAGTAATGTCACAGGCACAGTGTCACAGGTACAGTGTCACGGGTACAGTGTCACAGGTACAATGTCATGGGTACAATGTCATGGGTACAATATTCTGGTGCCAATTTGCTCGTTGGTGTCAGTGCCTGAACTAATGGAAATGGTCTCCTTCCCCTTTTCAGAAAATATCTTCACTCAGCAGCCAAGTTACTTCGGTGACCTGGATGAGACTCTGCCCACTGTCCTCCAGGTACTGCTCTCCTGCTGGGATTTCCTCTGGAACTGTGGCAGGGCTTGGAGAGTGGAAGGGAACAGTCATAGGCAGGCAGTTCACAGAATCACAGAATATCCTGAGCTGGAAGGGACCCACAAGGACCATCAGTCCAACTCCTGGCCCTGCACAGACACCCCAAAATCCCACCCTGTCCCTCAGAGCATCATCCAAACCCTCCTGCAGCTCTGGCAGCCTTGGGGCTGTGCCCACTGCCCTGGGGAGCCTGGGCAGTGCCCAACCAGCCTCTGGGGGAAGAACCTTTCCCTGAGATCCAACCTAAACCTCCCTTGATTTTGCTATTGCTTCCTTTCCCTAGTTTATGTTAATGTGTCTCAGGGAGGTTTTGAGCCTTTATCTAAAACTATTCCTTGATGACTCTCCCATCACCTTCCTTCAGCTTCCTGCCTTCCCTCCAGTGAATCTCAAGGAATTTTCATTGGGCAGTTCAGGGGAAGAATTAAACTTAAATCAACAAAATAGAAACCATGAGAGGTAGTTTAACACAGCAGAATGGGTTAGGGATAACACTGCAGGTTCAGGAGCAAGGGAAAATCTGATGCAAGGGGTGCCCTGGGGCCGTGCAAAAGCTATTTAGCACCTCTCCATGTATCAGCTTTCCTTTATATAAACAGCTTTTATGTTCTCCAACCTGAGCAAGCAGGATTCACATTCAGCCTGAGGGGGAAATCAAAGTGTCTTGAAGTCTTTGTACCCTGAAATGTCATGTTTATGTCCTCAAAAAGCTGCCCTATGCACAAAAATAAACACAAGGTATTTACAAGAGCATGTAGTGACTGGCCAAGGGGGGAAGGGCTTCAAACTGCCAGAGGACAGGGTTAGATGGGATATTGGGAAGGAATTGTTGGCTGTGAGGGTGGGGAGGCCCTGGCACAGGTTGCCCAGAGAAGCTGTGGCTGCCCCTGGATCCCTGGAAGTGTCCAAGGCCATGGCAGGGAGCAGAACTGTGTGATTTTTGAGGTCCCTTCCCACTCAAACCATTCCATGATTCCACAATTCTGTATCATTTACCCCAGGACCCCTATAATGTCACTTGACTTTTTGGAAACCCACATTGTTCTTTTTTTTTTCCATGTGTTAAGAAACTGTTGGAGGTAAATCTCAGAGGGGAAACCACAATGTAAAAATATCCTGGGATGCAAGACCAAGCCTTCAATTTAATTACTGGGGAGGGCAGCAGAGATTCCATTTGCTTTTTGTGCTCTGCCATATCAGAGCAGTTTGCAGAAGGGTGGGTTTGGTCACCATTGCAGCTGGCAGCTCCTCCCCAGAACCTTTGCTTGTAAAAAAGGACCACAAAATCTGTCCTGCCAGCCTCAGGGAGGAGGGCAGGAGGGCTTTGGGAATAGCTCACTACCAGGAGGTATTACAGAAACAGTCCCAAGTTGCATTTGGGATGGGCAGTGGTTGTTCCCAGGACAAAGCTTGCCCTGCTCCTCTCTGTTAACACTGCCCTGTCTCTTGGTTTAGGTGTTCAACAACATCTTGCACAAGTGTGGTTTGCAGTGTGAAGGAGCCTCTGCTGAGCCCCAGAAGCTGGAAGAGAAAGTCAGTGTGACTGCAGGGAACATGCCCCTCCAGGTAGGGCTGCTCCTGCCTGGGCTGTGCCTGTTGTGCCCTCCTGTTCCCAAAAACAGCTCACACAGCACGTGGTTCCGTGTCACTGTGCCACTGTCACAGGAGGTGGTGATCAGACCTTCCCACCCTGAGCTGATTGCTTTGCCTGTGTGCATGTCACCCACATCCCTTGTAAAGGGGGAGGTTTGAAACCTGGCAGCTTTTTTGCTTAACCAGCTCATAATGTAACAGAACATCTGACAGAAGTGTCCCCCCAACCCTGGCAGTGAGCAGAGCTGGGCTTTTTCCTTCAGGAGTGTGTGTTTAACCACAATGTACTTTAACTGTAGGTAATTAAGAGGGGTTTCAGGTGCTGGGGACTGTACAAAGACAGGCCCCTGTCAGTGAGAATGGTCTGCAAAATCTTAATCACTCAGTTTTGGGGGGTGCCCTGGAAAAGCACTGGACCAGGCTGCTGAAATCACCCCTTTGACTCCCATGTTTCTGTTTCCCGTGCAGTGCTTCCAGCTACACAGGGAAGAATTCCATATGTGGAGGGTGTTTTGAGAACAAAGCCACTGTCCAGAACAAGATCTGATGAGAATTCCTGTAATTTCACAGGACCTTTAACGAAAGCAAACAGTTAGGATTGCCTTATAGACCTCTGAAGGGTCTAGGAGTTTAAAGGAGTTTAGGAGGTCTTTAGGAGAGATGTTGTCTCTGCCCCCAGACCCTGTAACATGTTTATAGTTTAGACTCTGCAGTCAGGAAAAGGCCTGGCCTGAATATGCTGTGTCCCTGTTGGTGAATGTACTGTGTTCCTGGAAAAACTTGCTCTTCCCTCAGTAACTGCTCTTTCCCCCCCAGGAGCTGAAGGACATTGTGCTGTATTTATGTGACACCTGCACAACACTCTGGGCCTTTCTTGATGTCTTCCCCTTGGCTTGCCAGACCTTCCAAAAGCACGAGTTTTGTTACAGGTACGTCTTGCTCTGCAGGCAGAGCTTGTCCTGGCAAAGTGAAAATACTGAATGTGCTGCTGTGTCCTGTCCCAGTCCCTCCCTCGCTAAGAGGAGACAGATTTAATGCAGAGGCTGCTGGGTTCACACTGACAGGAGCACAGCAGAATGAATAAATGGATAGGGATGTCTAGATTTGCTGTTACATATTCACCTTCAGCACTGTGAGTGATCCCAGAGCCAGGCATCCATGGCAGCTTCAAAACCCAGCTGGACGGTACTTGGTGTGCTCTGCAAAGGGTGGAGAGGGACAAGTTATGGACATAAAGATCTTCCTGCTGTGGGATCCAAGCAAGGGAAGCAGGAAGTATTTTGTAGTCATGGTCTTTCAACAGCTGAAAACAAGTGGGTTTGTTTGATATTATGCCCAAGTCTCATGGTAGAGAGCATTACTGAGGCCTGGCAAAAGCTGAGTGCCTGGGAGAGGGTGACAAGGCAGCCCTGTCACAGCAGGGCTGGCACTGATTCCCTGTGCAGCTCTGGAGCACAATGGGGATGAGTCAGGATGGGCTCAAGGTCCAGACAGCACAGCTTGTCCCACAGAGGCTGCAGGTCCTTGAGTGGCACCTTCCCACATTGCTCCAGGTGGTTTCAGCCCCCACATCACCTTGTGGAGTCTTGCCTTCACCATCCCTTGTTTAGGATTGAGTGAAGTGTTAATTTACTGTCCTTATTTCCCCTGTTTTGTTTGCTTAGTGTGAGCAAACACGGGTTTGTATTTCACTTTTGCTCCCAGTCAAGTTGCAGAGCTCTGAAGCCTTTAGGGAGCACAGGCTGAGTGACCTGCTCTCTGTCCTCCTTGGGTGTTGTCCCCACACTGGATTTTGGAAGGAGAGCAGGTTGCTGGGCTGCTGGTGGCTCTTTGGGCTGGCAAACAGCACTGCTTCCATGCCTGGGCACTCAGAGGGGGAAAACCTTTGGCTTTTCATTCTCCTATTGATGTCAGAGATGTGCTGAGAGTCTCCATCTCTGTGCAGTGAGACAGCAGCAGCATTTCCATCCTCAGTAGGGCCAAATGACTGGGGCTTTGGAATGTGGGGAGGAAAGACTCTTTTGTGTCATCTGGAACCTCTGAGCTCAGCCAATCTGCTGGCACTTGCTAATTCCTCTCCCCCACTAAAAGTATGGACCAGCTTTGCTACTTTTGCCTCAAGGACACTCATTTAGCGTGGTTGGCTCTTAATGAGGGACGTGGACAGAATGTTCCTGCTGGAGTCCAGCCAGACTTTGCTGCAAAGTGCTGGGAACCATCACCATCTCCCTGCTGGTGAGGCAGTGCTGGCTGTGTTCTGGGAGGGCATCTCTCCAGGTCTCTTGGTGCCCTGTCCCTGAAGGAGAGGGTCTGTGTGTGCTGCCTGGAACGGAAACTGGGCCAAACTTTCTCTGATTCCTCCCTGCCCCATCCCATTGGAACATCCTCCTGGGCCTTCAGCACGTGGGATACCTTCAGCTGAACGCCCACCTGGAGCAGAGCTGAGCAGCAAGGCCAGTAAGGCCTGATTGGAAATGATGTCCCACTTCATGTCCAGTGCTTGGCACACAGCAGGAGGGCCAGGAGGGTGCTGGGGTGGGACAGGGTGTTTTGGGGAGGACTCAAACTGGGTTAAGTTTTGGGCCCCTCACGACACTGAGGGGCTGGAGCGTGTGCAGGGAAGGGAACGGAGCTGGGAAGGGGCTGGAGCAGCAGGAGGGGCTGAGGGAGCTGGGGGGGCTCAGCCTGGAGCAAAGGAGGCTCAGGGGGGACCTTCTGGCTCTGCAAGTCCCTGACAGGAGGGGGGAGCCGGGGGGGGTCGGGCTCTGCTCCCAGGGAACAAGGGACAGGAGGAGAGGGAACGGCCTCCAGCTGTGCCAGGGGAGGGTCAGGTTGGATATTGGGAAAATTCCTTCCTGGAAAGGGCTGTCCAGCCCTGGCACAGCTGCCCAGGGCAATGGTGGAGTCCCCCTCCCTGGAGGGATTTAAAAGCCCTGTGGATGTGGCACTTGGGGACACGGTCAGTGGTGGCCTTGGCAGTGCTGGGGAAGGGTTGGATTGATGGTCTCAGAGGGCTTTTCTAACCTGAGCAATTCTGTGATTCTATGTCTGTTGGCTCTTTGCAGGTCTGTGTTTGGGATGTTTTTGGGTTGGGCAGATGGGTCAGATAAGTACCAGGGAGCTTTTTGAATGCATTTCTTTCCTACCTCTTCAAAGGCACCTCAATGGTTTCCTAAGAGTGTGATTTCCTTCCAGTGCTGCTCTTTCTCATGTGTGTGCCTGTGTTTTGGGGGGAAAAAATAACAAAATGGGTGATGCTAAGGAGTACAGCTGGTGAGGAGGGTTTAATGAAACCAGCCATTTGGTTTGTCTTTTAGCAAATGATTTTTGGAGCCTCAGCTGACAGTTTCTGGTTTGTTCCCCCCCTTTCTACAGGTTAGCTTCATTTTATGAGCTGGCAATTCCTGAGCTGGAATCTGCAATCAAGAAGAGGCATTATGAGGATAACAGGTGAGAATGGCTGCAAGGGTTGGCCTTGGCTTTTCAGAGAGGCTTCCCAGGGCTGAGTTAAAAATTCACTTCATGCTGCTTTACCCATCCCTGGGGAATCTTTCTGTCCCTTTTCTTGTGCTGCTTCGAAGAGCTCTGAGGAGATGACACTTGTAATTCCAAATTTTCCTGGGCAATGGGGTGACTAATCATTTCTTTTGGTGCTGTGTAAGAAGGAATTTGATGGGAAGTGCATTCCAATTGTAACCAAGTGTGAGAACATGGGTGATATCTCTTTGTACAGCTTGGCCTCATTGGAAGGCACAGGCTGTGCTGGTACACTGGGGGTATCCTGTGTGGAGCTGTCAGGACAACTGGGGGTTGAGAAGAGCTTTGTGTAGAGCATGGATTTTCCTTAATGCCTGTGAAGTGGCTCCAATCTCTGGTCTTTGCAGCAAGGAAGTGATTCTGCTGATGAAATCCCTCTTTTAGAAGGTTGACTCTGGCATGAAGGTGTGTTACAGATTCTTGTGCTGCCACCAACAGTGTCTTTTGCTCTCTCTGAAGTGTTTTTGCTGATTTGTGGAGGAGGATTTCACATTCCAGGAAGAAGATGATAGAAGCTTTTCACATCCTAATAAACCAAGTCTGTCTGCAGCCCATCTTGGAGAGCAGGTATTGGCACTTGGCTCTGTGCTCCTCGCCAGGTATTTGATTGCTGGGGGGGGAAACTGTTTCCTCATTTACAAATTTATTGGAGAAAATGAGCAGATACTGCTATTTGTCTTGGGGCTGCAGCCAAAGACTTGGCTGAGATCAGAATTCTCTTGTCCTGTGTATCAGGAATGTTCCAGATGAAGCTGTTTGGTCCAGAATCTCTGTGATGAGCTATGGTCCAAGGAGCTTTCTAACCTCAGTTTATGCAAATTCTAATTGTGTGTGTAGACACCTTGGCTGAGACCCCACAGTAGAAGTGGTGCAGAGTTAGAGATCACTGAAAACAGTCATTTTAAACCTGGATACTGCTGCCTTTATCTAGTTCTTCCCCACTCCTGTTGGGAAAATTGTTAACTGATAGCACTGAGTAATCTCAAAAGGAAGGCAAGTATAAACTAACCTGATTTGAAAGAAAAGAAGTGAAATGACCCAAAACTGTAGTGTGGGGACAGAGCCAAGAGCCTGGATCCCAGCTGCCAGCCCAGTGCTCCCTTGGGCTGGTCTCTCCTCACCTGTGCTGGAGCTGGTGTAGGTTGCTGGGCTCTGGGGCTCTTGCTCTGCTTGGATGTTTCCCCTGCTTTGGCAGCAGTGGAACTGTCCAAGATGAGCAGTTTATTTGTGGAATTTATGGAATCACGGAGTATCCTGAGCTGGAAGTGACCCACTGAGCCCAACTCCTGGCCCTGCACAGGACACCCCCAAGAATCACCCCATGATTCCTTATGAGATTGGATTTGCTTCCTTGACTTCCTCTGAGACCTGGACTTTATCCCTCAGTCTGTCTGTGCTGTAAATCCAATCCTTCAAGGGGCAACAGCAGCCTTGCCTTTCCCCTGCTTCCCTGGGGTTGGCTTTCAGCACCCACTGGAATACTGAGAGTGTCAACAAACCAGAGTAATGTGTTCAGATCCCTCAGTTGTAAGGACTGTCAACACTTCAGAGGAATTAAGGGGAATGGCTCTAAGCTCCAGGAGGGCAGGGAGAGATGGGATACTGGGAATCCTTCCCTGTGAGGGTGGGGAGGCCCTGGCCCAGGTTGCCCAGAGAAGCTGTGGCTGCCCCTGGATCCCTGGAAGGTCCAAGGCCAGGTTGGAGCAGCCTGGGCTGGTGGGAGGTGTCCCTGCCCATGGCAGGGGGTGGGCTGGGGAGGTCTGGGCACTGTGACCAGGGGTGCAATGGGAGTTTGCTGGCACAGGCTCTTGCACAGGTGAGCACATACTTTCTGGGAGGTTCACTGCTGTAATCCCAAGACATATAATACAGGCACAATTACAAAGGCACCACACACCCTTTTCTGCTCACTGCAAGTCTGAGGCATCAAACTATTTGCAAAGCCTGTCTTGTAATTCTGACTGTGATACAGCTTTAGATGTAGCTGCCTGAAATGTTTGCTGAAGCCATGAGAGGGACTTGTTTCCATTTGACCCTTTGCTCCCGTGAAAGCCAAAAAGTGACCTAGAATCTGTTTTTAAATGGGGTGTTGCCTTGGTGTGTGAGTGTGACTGGTTTGGCTGGTGAGGCAGAACATGGAGCTCGTGCAGGGGGGCAGCCTTAGCTCTGAGTGTTCACCCTGCTGTGTTTTCTGCAGCTGTGAGAATATTCAGCCATTTATTGAGGAATTTCTACAGATCTTCACCTCAGTGCTTCAGGAGAGGAGGTGAGTCTGGCTGGGAAGGAGCCCGAGGGGAGGCACCTCCTTCCTCCCCCATTCTTTACACCAGGATTGCCTGAGACAGCGTTATGAGGCTTTGGGGAGTTAGAAATCATTCCAAGTAGTTGGGAGAGCTGCAGTGAGAGGATTTCAGCCTGCAGCACAGCCCTCATTGTAAAGGTGAGGAGGGTGCTGCATGACACTGAGGAATGTTATTCTTCACTCTCTTTAATCCAGGCTCTCAAAGAGGAGAGTAGCAATTTAGCCATTAGCTCCCTTGACAAGTTAGGCTGTTATTAGTGACCTGTGCTTTCCAGCTGGGGTGACCACACCAGGAAGATATTAAACACTAATGCTGGACATGCAAAGTGAGTGGCAGAACTGGGAATTCCATCTCGTCCTCCTGGCTGTGCTGGCATTCTGAGCACGTTCACACCATAAAGCACATTTCCCTGTAATGCAGCACTGGGTTACAGCCCCTCACACTGAGGGTGTTCCAGCTGGCTCTGAGGGCCTGGGGGGAGTGTTGCTGCAGTGTAGTGGGAGCAAAATCAGGCCTGGCAGGAATCCAGGGCTGGGTGAGAGGTTCTGTGTGTTCCTACCCGAGCACTGAGGCAGTCAGGGAGGCACAGCAGGGGTGGGAGTGGTAATTAATCGAGTTCAGCTGATTAAACTTGCATTCTCAGATTTCTCCGTGACTACGACGAGCTGTTCCCCGTTGAGGACGATGTCAGCCTGCTCCAGCAGGCATCCTCCACTCTGTATCCTCTGCTCTCACCTTGGGGGTTGGATTCTTCACTCCAGGGACGTTTCCTCTGTTGCTGCCTCTGGTTAAGCTGCAACGAGTGCTGGAAACTTTCCCTTAAAAAAAAAAAAGGAGAGGGAGGCAGTTGTTGCCCAGAGAAGCTGTGGCTGCCCCATCCCTGGAAGTGTCCAAGGCCAGGTTGAAGCAACCTGGGCTAGTGGAAGGTGTCCCTGCCCATGGCAGGGGGTGGGATGGGGTGAGCTCTAAGGTCCCTCCCAGCCCAAACCATTCCATAGGTGTTGATGTAGGCACAGGCTTGGGAGCCACTGACAGTCATAGTTACTCCAAGGTGATCTCGGAACGCGCACACCCAGGAATGTCCTTAACTCTGCCCTCAGAGACGAGACCAGGACAGCCTATATCCTCCAGGCAGTGGAAAGTGCCTGGGAAGGGGTGGACAGGAAGAAAGGACAGGTTGTGAAAGATCCAGCAGCAGCAGCAGCAGCATCTACTGGAGCATCAGCAGTAGTGGAGAGCTCTGCTGAGGACAGGGAGGATCCAGGAGCTGCCTGTGCACCGGGGAATGAGGTGGGTACAGCCTGTGGGTGGGACAGGGCTCTGCTCTGCCTGCCCTTCATTCTTTGTGAGGACAGGCTTGGTTTGCTCAGTTTTGGAGACAACATGAGATTTAGTGTCATTTCTGACCTTCCCTGGATCTCAGTGCAGCCCCACATGCCTTGGGAAATGAGAATTGAATCCACACCTGAATCCCGCTTTATCTCTCAGCAAATGGCTTGTAACTCCCATGGCTTGGGTTTTCCCTTGCTGGGGATTAGTCAAATACTCTGCCCCATCCCTGCAGTTCATGTGCATATTTTTAAATGCACAGCTTTGAGGAAGGGATTCTGCAGAGTGTCTTTGCTGGCTTGGGGACTGACAAAAGCACTCGTGTGCCCATCTCTGTTCAGATTCAAACAGCTGATTTCTCTTCTTTTGACTCCAGTCCTGGAGTTCTGTGTGTTTAAGCTCTGGTAGCCCAGACTGCTGCTCTCCCTTTGTTTCTGAGCTCTCCTGCCTGCCCTCAGCTGCTGTCCCTGGCCAGTAACCCCAGTTTGGTACCCGCAGTGTGCTGGTGCAGCGGCCGCGCCCGTCGCCTGCGTGTCCGGCGTGGAGCTGGACTCCCTCATCTCCCAGGTGAAGGACCTGCTGCCTGACCTCGGGGAGGGATTCATCCTGGCCTGCCTGGAGGAGTATGGATACAACACAGAGCAGGTGATCAACAACATTCTGGAAGATAAGCTGGTGCCACACTTGGACAAGCTGGACCGAAGGATGCAAAGGTGTGGCATGTGTGGCTCTGAGAAGTTGCATGTGTGTATTTTTGGGGTGTATAACTGCAGTGAGAGCTTCTCCTTGTCACCTGCCATCAGCTTTCTGCCAAGGGGTAGAACGTTCTCTGCTCAGGGTTTGAGTAGAGCAGGTTCTGGGCTGTGATTTGTGACAGGGACAAAACTGCTTGTACATTAAATGCTCAAGTAAGCACCATTAAAATTCCGTCACTGGGACACTGGGCTGGGCAATAGAATGTGTTGCCTTCAAAAGTTATTTTGCTGCAGAGTTTGGGGTGGTAGGTGTGGAAATCCCAGGTGTCCTGCAGGGAAGGGGCTAGTTCAGCTGCAGCTCACCCTGCAGGGTCAGACGTGGTTATCCAACAGGCTGCTCTGGGAGGGAAGTTAGACCAGAGAGAGGCTGGGACTGGGAATTCAGACCCATTTTTATGTGTCCTCTGACAAACTTGCCAGGCTTGCCCTGCTTGCCTGTGTTGTACAAGGGGTTGATAGCTGGTGGCAGGATTGAGTTGCTGGAGTTTGTCTGCAGCTGTGAGTGTGTTTTTGTGCTGCACCAGCAGTTCCTGACGGAGTGTCAGGATGTGAATGTGCTGTTTGTTCACATTTCATGGAGGAGTGGGCAGACTGTCTCACTGTTGCGTTAAAGGGAAGCATCTTTATCAGAAAAACTATGGAAAAAAAATCCTAGTTTTTCAACAATCTTGGTGCTCCCAAGTCAGATCTGCTGACTTTGGCACAACTGGTGCAGGGTGAGCTTAAGGAAGGGTTGGTTTTTCTGCAAAGCCAGCAGTTAAATGAGATAGGGCTGGATTTTTTTCCCACCCTGCCTTTTTCATCTTGAAACAAAGCTGTTAGTTCAATAGGAAATGTCCAATTCTGATCCCTGCTGATTTATGGGTGAGCCCAGCAGCGTTTGCAGCTGCCCAGCTGAGCTCACTGCACACCAAAATCAATGTCAGAGAACAGCCTTTTGTCTTACAAGTTGAACAAACGTAAACCTGGAGCCGTGAGAAAGATTTAAGGAGGAACCACAGGGAGATAAATATCTTGCAATCAGCAGCAGCAAATTATTGGAATTTTTTCCAGCATGTAATTCATCATACTTAGTGTTTGTCTTTACTGAGTCAGTGTGGAGAGCAGGCAGTCTGTTGAATATTCCGTGGTGCTGCAGGGTTTGACTTGCTCTGAAAGGAGCAGCAGAGTTTCCTTTTGGCTTTCTGGGAGTTGCTTTAGTTTCCCCACAAGGATTAGATTTGGAAGCTGCCTTGTAGCTCAGACTAGAGCTGTGAAGTGAAAGGTTGACCCAGAACCTCAGGCAGGGTCTTGGTGTGCTCTGGATGACTTTGGGACTGTCAAAGGATAAACCAGGGGCTTAGGGAGGAGAGGATTTAGTCTTTCTCACTTCACATTTGTTTTTATCCTCTCTCCCCTTGTTTTTTCTAACAGGCAGCTGAAGCCAGACCCTACTCCCCTGGTCACCTCCCGCTGTAATGTTTTCCAGAATGATGAGTTTGATGTTTTCAGCAGGGACTCAGTGGATGTGTCTCGGATACAGAAAGGCAAGAGGTGAGTGTCGTGTCCCTGCTCATTAACTCTGTGTGGCAGGAGGAATAAATCCCTGTGAACCTGCACATTTATATCTCCTGCAAGCCTCCTGCAGGGGTGTGTTGGCAGGGGGTGAGGCTCCATCAAAAATGTTTCCCACCTGTGTGTCTGGGAAAGGAAAGTGAAGTATGAGGGGTGTTGGTCTCAGGTGGTGTTTTTCCTAATTGGCTTTGCTGTGTCTGCTGCTGGAGGTGGCTCTGCCAAGCTCATTTGTAATGTCAGGCTCTTGCTCCTTGGGCTTAATGTTAAACTTGTACTGAGCAACAAAACCTTGAAAAGGACCATCTCTGAGCCTGGGATTGTGACTCAGAGCTGAGAATAAATAATGATCTGGTTTAGAGCCAAGAGAAGCTTCAATATCCATCTACTTCAAAATCTGATAACACTGAGTGCCTCAGACACCTCGTGTTGTTCCTGCAGCCGTGAGCCTCCTGCACAAGGGCATTTGGAGTCGTGGAGTAGTTTGGGTTGGAAGGGACCTTTAAAGGTCACTTAGTCCAGTCTCCCTACAATGGGCAGGGATTTCTATAAAACCCCACCAGTTTTTACTTTGTTTTCTGCCCAGTTTGGTGTGTTGTGCTGTGCCACACTCCGTGCAGATTTAGGTGCTGGCTCTCCTTGATATCAACTCTGCCTCTATAATGAGGTTCCCTTGTTTCAGATTCTTTTTAGTCCTATCACAGAATCACAGAGTGGTTTGGGTTGGAAAGGACCTTAAAGCCCATCTTGTTCCACCTTCCACTACACTCTAAACACTGTCTGTAACCAGCCAAGTGTGATCTCTATGTTGGGATGTAATTACACAGAAGATAACTAGAAATCTGGGTGGAATTTGAGCCACATGACCATGAGAGCTCCCAGTTAAGGTTTTGGTTGCAAAGCTGCATCAGCCTCTCAGGAGAAACCCACTTTTGTCCCAAGTCCAGCTTCTCAGGGCAGTGCCACTGTGCTGATCCTGGTTTGGCTGGGCAAGAAAGGGATTTCTTTTCTCTCTGGCCAAGACTTTTGACACATCCCATGGCTAAGAATTCACAGACCTCACCTTCCTCCTCGTGGTGTTGCCTCGCTCAGTGCAGGCAGGTGCCCTGTGCACGGCTGTGTTGGTTTATCCCTCAATCCCAAAGCCTTCCACAGGTGAGCTGGGCAGACAGGGATAACCCAAAGCCTTGCACAGGTGAGCTGGGCTCTCCCTGTCTCCCAAAGCCTTGCACAGCTGGGCTCTCCCTGTCTCCCAAAGCCTTGCACAGCTGGGCAGCTGCTGCAGCAGCTGGACAAGGCCAGAGAGCCCCGGGATCAGCACAGAGCACCCAGTGGCTCGGAGCTCCCTCTGCAGATCACTTGGAGAGCTCTGGGAGCTGTGGATGATCCCTGGGCTGGGCTGGAGGGCCCTGCTCCCACGGCACTGCCCTCCAGCTGTGTGGGAGGCTGAGCCTTCTCTCCAGTGGCACCATCACTCCTGGAGAAGTTCTCATCTCTCCTGCTGCAGTTACATGAACTCTTGGGATTATCCACTCACTGCTGCTCTTCTGGTGTCTTTTGGCCTCCCTCAGGCTGTGTCTTCATTTCAGAACAGTTTTTACACTGAGAATGCTCTGCAGGACTCCAGGCACGTTATTTCTGGTCTGAGTGGTTTGAAATGTGGATGTGACCAGCTGTGATGGGCATTGTACACCCTCCACCCAAAGCTGACCACATCTAACTCAATCCAAGGATAAGCTGAGGTACCTGGCTCTCCAGGATTTAACACTCAGCACTCCATAAATACCCAGAGTGTCTTTTCAGCACTGAAAATCCCACTTCCTCAGTGGTTCTTCCACCAGCAAGAAGCCTGATGTTTTACCCAAGCATTGGAGTAACAGGGCTCTCCAGGCTTAGTTTGAGATCTGCTTTGGATTGGAATTGTATCAATATTTAATTCTTTCTCTTTTTTTCCTCCTTCTCAATGCCTTTTGCTCACCAAATTCTCTTGTGTTCAGTCTGTTGCTAAGCATGATGTCACTTAAAGAGCCAGAGCAGGCTGGGTCCTGCTGCACTGGCCACTGTGAGCAGTTTGGGGCAGGGCCTGTCCTTGGGAAAGAGAAATCCAGGCAGGATGAGGAGAGAAAGGAGGGTGAGGAAATGAATGTACCAGCACAGACTCTGCTGATCCTGAAAAGTGATCCCACTTGTCTGTGCCTGTCCAGCCTTAGTTGTTTCACTTGAATCTGTCTCCTAAGTCAGGGCATGCCCTCAGCACCATGGGGCCAGAGGAGCTGTCCCACTGTTTTTCCTGGGATTGGTGCCATTTCACACAGCTCTGCAGTCACCAGACCAGCTGGGCAGGAAGCAATTACCCAGTGCTGAATGCCCACGGGAGCTGTTATCCCAGTGATCCCAGCCTGGGGATGTGTGAACTCACTGCATGCTTGGGAGGGCATTGTGCAGCTGAATGCAGGCCTGGAACGGTGAGTCATGGGAGAGAGGGACCCACATGGAGCTGCAAACTTCCTTTGTTTGGAGATTCTGAATGGAAATCAGGCTGCTTGGATCACCTCCCCACTGCCTGGTGCTGTGTCACCTCAGTCTGTCCCCTCCTGAGTCACTGCCACTACCCTGCACAGGTTCCTTCTGTGGTAATATCCACTGGTGCCTGTTCCTCCTGGACTCTGAGGGCTGCAGGCTGTACTGGGAATGCCAGACAGTGGAATCCCTTGTTGTTCTTCTGTAAATATGTACTTATCTGGTCTGAAAAATGGGAGTTCAGACCTTATGCTTGTGCAGCTTGAGACATTCAGTGCCTGCTTTTTAACACCTCTGGTTCCTGCTCTTCCCTTCTCTAAAATTACTATAATTTACTTGCCTTCTAAACTTAAAAAACAAAGCCCTTGCAGTGCTCTGAGAGGTTGAATCACAGTCATTATCTACTGTTTTGCTCTTTGCCTTGTTAGTTGTGTTGACTCTCATCCTCACTCATGGTTTGTGGCTCTCCTGGTGCTCCTTGGCCACATCTCTGCTGGAGTAGGATTGCACTTGGTCTCCTGGAAAAGCTTCCTCTCTGTCTCAAAGGGTGGTGGTGGCCTCCAGTTCCTGCTCTGATCTGCTGTGGGATCTTCCCAGGCTTCTGCTTAAGAGTGACTTTGTTCCAAGCCAGAAGTGGATGGTTTGAGTGGCCAAAGTGGACAAATGACCCCACTGGGACCACTCCATCCAGATTTGGGCCCCCCCAGGACAGGAAGGACGTGGAGCTGTTGGAGCAAGTCCAGAGCAGGTCGATGGGAGGAATGGAGCAGCTCTGCTGTGAGGAAAGGCTGAGAGAACTGGGGTTGTTTAGTCTGGAGAAGAGAAGGCTCCAAGGTGACCTAATTGTGGCCTTCCAGGGCCTGAAGGAGCTGATAAGAAGGATGGAGAGGGATTATTTACAGGAGCTTGGAGTGCCAGGACAAATGGGAATGGGTTCAAACTGACAGAGTAGGTTTAGATGGGATATTGGGAAGGAATCCTTCCCTGTGAGGGTGGGGAGGCCCTGGCACAGGTTGCCCAGAGAAGCTGTGGCTACCCCTGGATCCCTGGGAGTGTCCAAGGGCAGGTTGGATGGGGCTTGGAGCAACCTGGGCTAGTGGGAGGTGTCCCTGCCCATGGCAGGGGTAGGGATGGGATGAACTTTAAGGTCCCTCCCAACCCAAACCATTCCATGACTCCATAAGTCAGCAAGGAAACAGGTGGGTCTAAGGGAGTGCTTGTGGCCTTGGAAAAGAGACTTGTGTTGCTTCATCTCCCACTGACAGGGGCAAAACCACCCTCTGGGGCAGTTGTGACACCCTGCCTGTGTCTGTCCCTGTTTTGTGCTGCTGTGCAGGAGGGAGAAGGACACGACCAGGAGCCTGGTGAACGACAAGAGCCTGGTGCTGGAGCAGAGGGAGAGGTACAGCCAGTACAGGGTGGTGGTGGAGGAGCTGCCCCTGGGCCCGGGGCAGGCCCAGCCCTACGGGGACTACGAGGACGAGTACGACGACACCTACGACGGCAACCAAGTGGGGGCCAACGACGCCGACTCGGACGATGAGCTCATCAGCAGGAGGTGGGTGGGCAAGGGGAGCTCGGGGGGAACCACCACGGCCTTGGGTGGGTCCCACACACCTGGTCAGGGCTGGCTTTGGGCTCTGCCCCTCCGTGAGCACGTGTGTCCTCCCCCCACCTTCAAACCAGCCCTCTGGCTGCTGCTGCTCTCTCTGTGACACTTGGGTCTCCCTTCTCCTGTGGGTTGAGAGTCTTGCCTGTGCCAGGGCATTCTCTGGCCTCCACTCAGCCATTGCCTCGAATCCAGCTGCAAATTTGCTCATCAGCAAAACCAACTGGAGACTTTGCCATTGTGTTGAAACTCTGCTTGTAGAAACCACCCTGCAACAGGGAAAAATGGGCCAGTTTGGACAGTTGGTGTAGCTGGGCAACCTAAAACAGCTGGTTAGGAAAGGAAAACTTCAAAATCTGGGGAACTGCATGACTGGACTTCTCCCTGCCAGTCCCCTCTGATGTCTCCAAGTGCTGACAGCTGGAATTCAGACCCTCATGGGCTGCTCAGCACTGTCAGAAGGACTGGCAGCTGCAGGCAATCAGCTTTTAGGAAGCAAAGGGTTGGTTTGGGATGGAGGCTGTAGAATATTTGTTTTAGACATATGAGCTGGGGATAGAAAACACGTGGTTTAAAAGCTGCTTTAACACTTGTCTGAAAGCAGCCTTTTCAATTCTGTATTATGAAGATGTCACTGTTCTTAACATCAAACCAAAATGAAGCTTTGGGCTTCCTTTGTCCTTTTTTTTCCCCTCCTAAAGTGTGATGAGGGTTCAATTTAAATCCTTTTTGTGGTTTGCCTGGTAGTGTGGCACCCAGGTCTTTTCCCCTGTTTCAGTGCTCACTCTCCCCAGAAACAATTAGTGGATGTTTCTGCTGAAAACTGGATCTGAGGGTGTGAAATAACAAAGGTTTTTCTGGGTTTACATTTATTTCTTTGACAGTGGAACAGTGGGTCTGAATTCCAATAGAATTTAAGCATACACACAAATATATATATTTTAAAGAGTAAAAGTCATGTGGTAAATTGTGCCTCCACCCCCAGGCCCTTTGCTCTGTGTGTCCAGGGTGATTCATAAATCCTGATAGATCTCTCCAAGGATTTCCCCCTGTGTGAAACTGGGCCACAGCATTGAAATTTGGGCTCCATGGATAACCCCTGACCACTCACAGAGGGTTTGGAGCACAACACTTGCTGAGCATCAATGTTTCTGTCTGAGTTTGGACTCGAGGTTTGGGGGTTCCTGGCTGGGGAGCTAAAGCTCAACAAAGGATATTCCTTACTAAAGCCCCCTTTCCCAAAGGAAGCAGTTGTTTGCTTGGAGAAATTCCTTGTGAGGTTTGAGGTTTTCCCTGACCTGCTCCTTTTTTTTTTAACTATTATTATTTTCAGTGACAACTCCATAGTGAACATTCCCCAGTGAAGAATGTGTTCATTAATTACCCTGAGGAATGTGTCATTAGCTGCTGAGTTTCCTTCCTTGTGTTTTCTTTTCTTCGGGAAAAAGTCCATGAAATTTGTAGAACTTCATTTTTTAAGGATGTGATGCAAAGCAAGAAGGTTCAGTGAAGTGTTTGTGGCTGCAGTGACTTCCTTGCTGACTGTCTGTGGGTTTGTTCTCAGGCCATTCACAATTCCTCAGGTCCTCAGGCCTAAGGGACAGGAGGAGGGACAGGAGGAGGAGGAAGAGGATGAAGAGGAGGAGGAGGAGGAAGCTGAAAAGGAAAGAACAAAGGTGACCCTGATTTACCCTGTTTCTTCCCTGCAGGCTGATGTGGAGCAGATTTTGGAGTGACTCTTTCAGCAGAGGCAGAGGCTGGGCTGCTGGGCTGGGACACATCCCCCCGACAGCTCCGCTGCTTCCCGGGATAACCAGGCTGGAGCAGGGACTTTTACTGCCTGGGGAGCTTTGCTCTGCTCTGTTCCAGAGCCAGGCAGTGCCAGCAGAGCACCCTGGGGGTCCCTGGGGCTCTGTCATGGCTGGGCTGGCAGGGGGGCTGTGGGGAGGGGCCTCAGCCAGCACCGGTGCCAGGGGGTGTTCAGAGCCCCTGGCACAATTCCTGCAGGGATAATGAACCGGGGACTAACTCTGTTCCTGCTCTAGGATTTTGCAGGGTGCTGATGGGTTTCCTGACCTCTTCCCTCCCTTCTTTCCAGGACCACTTTGTGCAGGACCCCGCTGTCCTGCGGGAGAGGGCCGAGGCCAGGCGCCAGGCCTTCCTGGCGAGGAAGGGGTAAGCAGGGATCAGCCTCTGGGGGGTGAATCCCCGGCTCTGCAGTTGGCAGGTGTCTTGTTGCTGACTGGAATGGCTGAGGGTGTTCCTGTTCCTGACATTCCTGTACATCAGGGTCACCACCACCGTGGTGTGAACTTCCTCACTTCTGCTTCACTGCTGGTTGTTCTATCCCATTGAATGGGTTGGCTTGTCGTGGAGTCGTGGAATGGTTTGACTGGGAAGGGACCTTAAAGTTCATCTCATTGCTCCAAGCCCTCTCCAACCTGCCCTTGGACACTTCCAGGGATCCAGGGGCAGCCACAGCTTCTCTGGGCAACCTGGGCCAGGGCCTCCCCGCCCTCACAGCCAACAATTCCTTCCCAGTCTCCCATCTATCCCTGCCCTGTGGCAGTGGGAGCCATTCCCCCTTGTCCTGTCATTCCAGGCCCTTTATCACAAGCAGCAGAACCCTTTGCAAGGCAGGATCTTGGAGAGCACAGCTTCCAGAGCTCCAACAGCTCCTGCAGGGATTTGGGGGCAGTTTAACAGCTATGTTCAGCTCTCAGTGTGTCAAAGGACACAGTTGTGGTGTGGCTGATGCTGATCCTGGGCTGTTGTGGATCCCTGGGACGAGCCAAGGCCTGAGGGCTGAACTCCTCATCACTGGGTGTTTTGGGGGTGTGGGATTCTGTCCCCAGCTGTGCCATGTGCTCGTTGGGATGTCCCTTCCTGTGTCCTGCAGGTACAAGCACGACAGCTCTGCCGTTGTTGGGAATGCCAAGGGCCACGGGCAGAACCGGGAGACGGTGCAGGAGCGGAGGAAGAAGGAGGCGAACAAGAGCACCAGGGCCAACCACAGCCGGCGGGCCATGGCCGACAGGAAGCGCAGCAAGGGCATGATCCCCTCCTGAGGGACTCCTGCCGGGGGTGGCACCGTCCCCAGCCTCCTGCTCGGGAGTTGGTGTCCTCGGCATTCCCTGTGGTCAGGGGCTGGATGTCCTGGTTCAACACCTGGCACTGCAGCTCGCCTGGAACGGCGTTCCCTGTGGGAGCGCTGCCTGTTCCCGGGGAGGAGCAGGCCCTGAGCCTCCTCAGTTCACAGACACACACGTGTGTGCTGGTGGCTGCACCCAATACACTGGACAGGCTGCACCAGCCCCTCCTTCCCTTTTGTACTATTTATAATTCGCAGAGTTTTATTTTCATACTGATCCCTGTGCCCTCCCTGCCACTCCTGAGGGCTCTGTGGCCTCCCTGGGACAGCCCCCAGCTCTCTGCTCCACTGAAATGCCTTATCCTGAACTGGAATCATAGAATATCCCAAGGAAGGGACCCACAAGGATCATCCAGGCCAACTCCTATCCCTGCACAGACACCCCAACATGTCCCTGCACACACACCTCAACAATCCCACCCTGTCCCTCAGAGCATTGTCCAAACCCTCCTGGAGCTCTGGCAGCCTTGGGGCTGTGCCCACTGCCCTGGGGAGCCTGGGCAGTGCCCAGCCACCCTCTGGGAGAAGAACCTTTCCCTGAGATCCAACCTAGCCCTCCCTGGCACGGCTCCATGCTGGCAGGGAACTGCTCAGGCTGTTCCTACTGCTGACAGACCCACAGGAGTTGAGGGGAATAAGACCTTGCCATAGATTTCTGTCCCTTGAGTGAGGCCTGTGAAAACAGACCATGGCAAATAAATGATTGAGATGTTTCAGGTGGTGTTTTAGGCTCTCACAGACAGGATTGATCTGTAACTCTGAGGAACCTCCACAGGCCTCTCAGTGCTGGATCTGCAGGCAGGGAAATTCTCTCCCTGCTCTGTGTTGGTTCAGTGTAATGAGATTTACCCACAGCCACAGAGACCAAAGATGCTGGAAAATGAGGATCTAATGCTAAGCAGGATGCCAGTGGTGTGGAAATCCAGGCTGAAGGCAGCAGGTTGGAGTCCCCAGGAGTTGCCTCCTCAGTAACCCCCCGTCCCACCCCGTGAGGCAGAACTGCCCCCACCACCCTTTGCTGGGGCAAGGCTGGGAGCTGAGAGTGACTTGCTGAGGGGCTCCTCCCGAGGGCTGGATTTTGTCAGGGAGTTGTTCCCTGGGCAGGGAGACACAGAAATTACCAGGTGACCTGTGTGAGAGGTGCTCAGATGCCACAGCAGTGGCTGCAACTCTACCTGGGCATCCCAGATTCAGCTGCCCACAGCTGGTGATAAAGTTGTTCCAGTTGTCATGGAGCGTTGGGATGTTTTGGAGTGCTGTCCTTATCATGGAGATGAACTTCCTGGCAACCAATTAGCCTTTGCTTTATTAATTGACTTGGTTAATCTGCCCTGAGTGGCATCTTCCACCACCCTGTATTTTCTAGAACTGCAGAGGTGCCTGTGGCTGTCACCCCCCACGCTGAGAAAATGAGCAGGGGATGATGATCCAGGGTAATCCCAGAGCTGCAGCAGGAGCAGGGTGGTAGTAAAGTGGTAGTAAGGTAGCAGTAAGGTCTGTAGACATACCTTGGTGCCTGGTTTAACTCCAGGGGACTGGGGTGTGACTGGACTGCTGTGGGGCTGTTGGCAGAGCAGCACAAATGCAGCAGAACTGCCACTGCCACGACAGGAGGTGAAGTCCTGAGTGCTCCGAGGAGATTTTTTCTTTCAAACCTCCTGATGACAAGCAGAGGAAAAACGGAATTGCATTCACCACTGTCCCCAAATCCTGTGTCCAGGGCAATCCCCTGCTAGGGTAACTGCTCTCCTGCAGCTCCTGCTCCCTGGGCTCGTGGCTCAGCCCCTCCCTGCTGCCCACTGCAGTGCTGTCTCCCCCTCATCCTGTATTCAGCTTTGGTTCCCGCTGCTCAGAAGCTGCACCTCTCTGAGCTGCTCAGCGTGGAGCAGCAGCACTGCAGAGCCAGCTGGCACCACGGGCTGGGGCTGTCCCAGGAACGCTGAAACCTTCCCCCTGAACGTCTCCAGAGAGCACAGCTGGGACTGGCACAGCTGGGGTTGGGTTTTGCTCTAAAAACACGATGTTTTTTAAGTGTGTTTAGAGTAAATGTTTCCCCCCTGGTGCCCATTTGCAAAGCCAATAAAGCTGCTGCCCCCAGCACTGGCTCTAACGGGCTCTGCCCCAGTCGTGGCTAAAATTCCTCCTGATTAGGGAAAATGGAGGGAAGAGGGAGAGATGTGGCTGCTGGGCTGGGGAAGGGGGAAGAGCAGGAACCACTGAGCCAGATCTCCCAAGAGAGCTGAGTGATTAACTGGATGGTTACCCCAAACAGTACCCAAACATCCCTTCCTGGGAATAAAGAGGTGTTTGACAGAGTCAGGGCTGGGCTCCTCAGTGAGGCTGCTGAGGAGGGAATGGCTCTGCCCAGGGCAGGGGGATGGAACTGGATCATCTTTAAGGTCCCTTCCCATCCCAACCATTCCATGACTCCCCTGATTGAGCTGCTGGGGGGGACAGACCAATTCCTCTCCCTTGCCAGCAGCTCCCCTTGGATCCCAGGGTGGGGGCAGGCTGGTGGTACCACACAAACCTACAGAACTTCTGCCCCTCAAACCATCTGAAGAGCCAGAAGGCACAGAAATAATTAGGGAAGGGATCCACATCCCCTTTGAGGAGGTTTTGGACACCCCCCCCCCCATTTTCAGCCCAGCAGTGCTGGGCACACTCAGCCTGCTCAGAGCTCAAGGGGCCAGTGCTGGGCAGATTTACCACTGTCAGGGCAGGGAGAGGGGCCAGGAACCTCCCCCAGCCCTGTACAGGACCTACCACAGATGATGTAAATGACTTTAAGCCCCTTCTCTGTGAACAGGCCAGAAGAAAGACAAGAGCTGCTCCTCCCTCTCCAGGTTCTCCTCAGGCAGAGGCCAAGGGCTGTCACTAAACCACAGCTCTGTAAGTGCTTCCAAGCCTTTCCAACCATTTTTAGGAGGTTGTGATTCCTTCCAATGCCTTGGAACTAAGGAGTGGGGCTGCACTGAACCACTCTCCATCTCCTGGAGGAGGAGGAGCCCCAAGGAAGCCAAAGGATGGGTGAGGTGAACACACACACACGAGACAAGGACCAGAGTTTTATTTGAACACCATGAGTCAAGAACAGCAGCAGCAGCACCCCCGAGTCCATCCTGCCTCACATCAGCTCAGTGGGGGACTGATACACTCTGGCTTGGAGTTGTTCCATCAGGAATCCATTCCCAGTTTCAGGAGGCCAAATCCTTCCCTGCTCCTTCCTGGCTCCTGCTGCTGAGCTGCTCAGTTCTCATACTTGTGCTTGATGTGTTTCCACAGTTTCTGGGTGCAAAACAAAGGCTTTTCAGAGGTGCTGGGATAACATTTCACTCTAAAATGCTATTTTATAGTTTATGTTTCATAGTCACCCTGCCTGGGGAGGTGGTGAGGGAGCCCTGGACTGGATGTGAGGGACACAGGGGGCTCCTGGCTTTTAGTCTGGACAGGGAGGAAACTGCAGAACATCCCCTTCCCCCTGCTCTGGATTGGAGTATCCCAGTCACCCTGGCTTGAATTCCCACTCAGACCAGAGAGACCATAGCTCCTGGAGCTATGGGAACAGAACAATCCTAGTCACAGAATCCTGGAATGGTTTGGAAGGGACCTTAAAGCCCACCCAGTCCC